ATATATATATATATATATATATATATATATATATATATATTCATTCCCTTTTCACAGATTTTCCATTCATACTTGAAAGTCATTTCATTTTGGTGATAAAATTAATTCCAAAATAATGGGTATGTTCAACCACTCAGTGATTTCATTTGACTATAACGGAACACAGAAAATCCAAAACAACAGAACTAATGTGGCAGTGTTTGTCGTACTTAAGCAACTCATTCAACGTTTTCTCAGTTCATGATAATCACATCCATCGCTTAAGTTCGTTAGATGGCTTATCATTCTAAGCTTGATGATTACCATTTTTTATTCCACACACGGTGTAATGTGAAGAGGTCAGTCCCATAGTCACTAGGACTTACTGTTCACACATGAAAATCTGGCAACCTAAACCCCGCGACCTCAAAGGGGACCACAAAATGACCCGTTCGCATGAGTGTGGGACGACGATGGAGTTCGAACTTCGAACCCTAGAGCACATATCATGACAGTAACAGCGACTGAAACCGGTTGATCACCAACAACAACAACCTGTTCTTGTAGCTGTTCGTGACCGGGTGGCTTACCTCCTCAGTTATTTATCACTAAATGAAGTTTAAAACTATCTCAGCAGTTTATTTCTTCGAGGATCAAGTCAGCATCTTAATCCCCGTCTCAGCTTCACTTTTGTGCAATTTCGTGATCAAATGAAAAGGTTCCCGATCAGACTTTAGTACAGTGCTACCCGATTGCTGTACTAGTCCGTCTTTCACTCGGACAACTGAGAACTTCCGTGTACACTTATAAAAAAAGTATTAATTTTTAACCGATTTATAGTTGTTTCCGTCGGGACCATCATTTTTATTTGAAAAAAAATAGTTACCTGTGTGAGCTATCTTATTCACTGCAACTCGGTTTTTCTGCCATTCTCGAGCAGCGCTACAAACGACACGTTCGTGACCGGCGGTTGCAACAATCAAATGAAGTAAATGTGATGGTGTTGCGTACACCCACCCTGTCTATACTGGACCGAATACGTGATAGCTTAGCCCAGGAAACGGAACCCTCTCATTCGTGAGTATCCATTTGTTGTGTAATCAAAATGCAGCATGCTGGTAAACATAAACTTTTGGTAAATTCATTCTCTAATTATCGCAGTCTCATTTATGTAGGGCACTATAATGATGGTGGTTTGGTCTGTGCAATCTAGGTCATACCTCTAAAGATTTGATGCAAGATGGAGCGGATGTACCGATCAGGACGAAATTGCACAGGACAAAAACAAAACATTTTTTCCGACCTGATTATTTCTCCTTGTGCGATGGAGGCTGAGGAACCTTAATTAGTTAAAACTGCATGCATAATTTAACCGATTCATGCCAGTTCTGTCGACAGTTACCAGTGCGCGAATCCTGGGTGTTTTATTGTGGAACAATGAAACTCAGTAGGGGATGAAGAATGCCGAATGACTCTCAATAAATAAGTGCTGGGACTGCACCATTTGATCATTAAAAGAGCTTTTAACGCTCTATAACTGTCCAAGCCTTAGACATGGTGTGTAACGCTGTTTGGTGCGCTTTAATGGCTATCTATTATTTTACCTGATGTGAATACTATTGTTGTTTGATACTACTCACTTGTGCGTAGTAGGTAACTTTCAATGATCAAAAATATAATAAGACCACCGAGAGCCAAGTGATATGTTTGGAAGAATAACTGCTGACCGCTCTATACATTACCCTGTGTGTCGGAAAGAATTGTGATGGCACGTTTCTGATTGCGTTTTTGTGTTATGCATGCAAAATTACTGATCTCCCATCTCTAATCCTGAATAAACGAGTATCCTCGACCGAGCACCGCTTTGTGGAATTATAACGATTGGTGCCGTCGCCAGGATGAAGGTTCCGTGGCCTGAAGCCTTCGAGAATGGCGACGCGCAGATGTTCCTGGAGGAGTTCGAGGCTGTGGCGGAGCTGGCGAGAATACAGCCGGGCGCGGGTGGTGTTGGATGTGGCGCGAAGATACCCGAAGAAGATGGTGTGGGCCGCCGCGAAGGACACCTTGATCGCGGGTTTTGACACCCGGGCCGATCGCCAGCAGGTATTGCGGAGCTTCAGGACGACGCAGCTCAGAGTTGGCTTGGAAACCTTGTCGCATGCGGTGGCCCTGCGCGTCCTATTGAATCGAGCGCTCCCAACATTGGATGATGTCGCGCGTTTGGATGGACTGCTCGAACGCTTCATGGAGAACCTGCCAGAGCACTTGCGGGAGAAGGCATGGATAGTTAATGCCGAGAAGACCATAGATGTGGAATTATGACACTATCACTGGATCACTGGGAGTCGGTAAACTAATTTGTTTCCCACCAGGCCCTAGCAAAATCTGCAACCCTATTTCCATAAACCGCCACGCTTTAGCCTCAACGCACAAATATCAGTCATGCGACCGCAGGCGAGGGAGATCAAAGACTATCGGAATATTCTGAGATCAACAAATGTTTAAACCTTCTATTTTGTGTAAATGAGGAAGTGTGGCAATCGTATGCTGCGCAGTTGATCGTCTTAATGGTATCAAATGCCTCGCCACATGTTTATTGGCGAAGATTTAAGCGATGCTCCCATTTCGTCAACCCATTTAGCACATCTCGTATTGCTTCATTATTTTGTAGCGAACCCTTTGTTTATGTGCTTCATTCAAAGTGAATTCCACTCTTGAACACTGAATACACTAGTGTGCCGGGGATAGTGAACACAGTTCACGAAAATACACCCAAATTACTATCATCAGTTCATTAAACACAGCAACATCGGACATAATTACAATGGTCGAGGCTCAACGAATATGGGTTTTGTCTAAAGCTTGATGGAAAAACGGCTACTAAAGGGGATGTCGTTTGTGCACAGTGTTTACTATCCTCGGCCTTTTATTGTATCCACATCTCAAAATTGGGGTTCATCTTAAGCGGATTTACAGAACAGTAAGCATTTACTTTTTTCTCATATCAATTTTTAATTTATTTTAGGGTTTGTGAACACAAATCTGTGCACCGTTTGTGTTACATTTGACAGTTTTACTCACAAAGGTATTGCACATTATACGGTAACAATGAAGCTTGAAGGATTTGCCAAATGGGTTGACGATACGGGTACATCGTTTAAACTCTCTCTCTCCAATGCTGCAGCATGCAACCCTCAGATTTTCTCGTTTCCTAGTCAAGCTTCGCAACACTAACATTTGTAGAAAATAAAATGTTTCAACATTCGTCGATCTCAGAATATTCCGATACTTTTTGATCTGAGGCTCGCCTACAGCGATATGACTACTCTATTTGCGTCGATTCAAAAGGACTGCAGCTTGTGGTTAATGTGTTGCGGGTTTTCGGCCAAAGAATTACGGAGTCTATGCTAAAGGATTGCGGATTTTGGCTAAAGCTTAATGAGAAACTGTGTAGTACACAGAAGGCGAACCGGTGACTTGTTCCCATATCGGACGGTTGAGTAAAGTCGTGTACACAGCAGCTAAGTCCCCGTAATTTGGTAGACCTTGTTTCCTTTCCTGGCCCAGCGAATGTTTGTTATTTTCGTTATTCTGTCCAGTTCGTTTCGACAAATCTATCAAGCTACCTACTTTCAGGTGTCTTACTAGCGATGGTTGTATCTCCACTGTATCTTCACAGCAGCTGTATCTGATTCTGTGTATGAGTCAGTCTATTCGATTACGAGTACAGGCTGGTGGTACGAAGAGTTGGTCGTTAGTACACTGACCATAATGAATTCAATGTGAATCGATTCTTAGACTGATTTCTTTGCAAACCACTTTATTTTGTTCAACAGAGGTTGCGACAACTCAGACTACTTGACCTCATTACATACACCATTGTTTACCTCTTATAAATGATAGTCGTTTGAAAACGAATTAATCGAAGATACACGTTCTGCATGCTGGTTTGAATGATTAAACTTTATAGGCAGTTGAAACTGATCAGTCATATAACGTGTATGGGAATTAGTCCGTTGCTTTTTAAAAGTATTTTCACACCATTGATAACCATGTTCCGAGACTGAC